ATTTGCTAATAATTAAAAAAATATTTTATATGTGCATTTTATATTTGACATATTTTACTATATATATCAAATGTACATGTAAAGTATTTTTAAAATAATTAAATTAACATTTTAAATTCAATATTATTATATATATCAATAATATATATTACATTTGATTCTCATTCAAAATAAGTGTAGTGTACGTTTTTCACCCATTTCATCATTTACCACAAGTCTGATTACCTCTCCTCAATTACCTGCATGATTTGATGTGTCTCAGTGATTCCCCCCTCTCTGACTGCTGCAGTATTTCCTTCTACTATTTTGAATAATTTTGCTCCCATAAAATCTAGACAGGTCCCTTCCTCACACACTTCTTGGTTCAACACTGAGCTTAGGGCAATGAAAACCAAGGGCCGCCGGCTGGAAAGGCTTTATAAGAAAACTGGCCTTATTGTTCACTCCTGAACACATTAAGCAGTACAGGAACGCTCTTAATGCGGCTCGATCATCTTATTTCTCTACTTTCATTCAAGTCCAAAAACAGGCCTAGAACATTATTTACTACAATTAAAAAGTTAACACAGCCACCCACACAGTCTCTAGTCGGCTCTGATCAAATGTGTGACGCTTTCCTGAATGTTTTTCAGAGTAAAACATCTCATACCTGTCAACACCCTAACTCTGTCCCCACTACTGAACTTCTCTCATTATGCCATGCTCATAGCTTCTCTAATTTGGACTCTATTGTCCCCACAGAGGTTGGTGAGATAATCAAGCTGTCTAATTCCTCTACTATTCTTCTTGATCCTGCACCTACCTCTTTACTGAAGAATTGCTTGCCTGCTTTGTCACTACCCATCACTCACTTCATTAATACGTCAATGTCATCTGGAACTGTACCATCAAAGCTTAAGATTTCTGCTGTCACTCCAGTTCTTAAAAAGCATGGTCTCGAGCCTTCTTCCCTAAGTAGCTATAGGCCTAATTCAAACTTATCTTTTCTCTCTAAGATATTAGAAAAAGTTGTTGCCTCCCAGTTACAGGCCTTCTTAACAGCACACAACCTCTACGAGCCCTTCCAGTCTGGCTTTAGTCCATTACACAGTACTGAAACAGCCCTGGTTAAGGTTCTTAACGATCTAATCTTCTCTTAGCTTCTGATTCTGGTGCTCTCAGCACTCTCCTGCTGTTAAGACCTCAGCTCAGCTTTTGACACTGTTTGTCATGAGATATTCCTCTCACGGCTTTCCGCAATTGGAATTACTGGCACAGTCCTTGAATGGTTTTCCTCCTATTTGACCGGGAGGCAACAATTTGTTATAAACCAGAAACACAAATCATCTACCAAAACCATCAGTTCTGGGACCGGATTCATGAAACATTCTTAAGAAGAAATGTCTTCTTAACTGCCATTTTCTTCTTATTTTTTAACTTAAGAAACTAAAACTGAGGTAATTCTGATTGGCTCTAAAGCTGTAGTATCTAAACTCTCTGGTCAACTGATGGATCTGGATGATAATCTGATTATGCCCTCCACTAAAGTTAGCAATCTTGGTGTTCTCATTGATTCCACTCTTTCATTCAATGATCACATTGGTAAAGTAGTAAAGACAGCTTTTTTCCACCTGCGTAATATCTCGCGTATTCGATCCTCTCTCAGTCAGCAGGATGCTGAAACTGTTATACATGCCTTTGTCACAGCTCAACTAGATTACTGTAATTCACTTCTTTATCAGCTAATGTCAGCTAATAATATCAAACGACTACAGTATGTTCAAAACTCTGCAGCTCGCTTGATTACCCACACAAGAAAGAGCGATCACATTACCCCAATCACCTTCATTGGCTTCCGTTTTCTTTTGTGCATAAACTACAAGATACTAATTCTCACTTAAAAAGCTCTTCATAATATTGGTCCTACATATTTATCTGACTTACTTCTGCCTTATGTTCCTGCCCGCTCATTACGATCTTCTAGTGAGGGATTGTTAGTCACCCCAAAGTTTTGTCTGGTGACTATGGGATCTAGAGCTTTCAGTGTTGTGGCTCCCAGATTGTGGAATGCTCTTCCCCAAAACATCCGTCAAGCATCCTCCCTTCTCTCCTTCAAAAACCTCTTAAAACACATTTTTTCTCTGAGTATTACTCTTCAGCTCTCAGTCTGTAATTTGTACCCTGTTATGGATGTTTATCTACATTCTCATGTATCTCTAATCTAACTTTGTAAGTTGTCTCTGTATATTACTCTCAGCTCTTGAAATGTGTTCTGTCTTCTGGTTTTGATGTTTATCTGTTTCTGTTCCTTAAACCTGACTTGTAAAGTGACCCTGGGTAATTTAACTAAAACTAAATAACAATATTAATAATTTTATTTTAAATTACTTTAATAATATTAACAAATATTAATAAAAACTACAACAATTATAATTATTATTATTATTATTAATTCTCTGAAACAAGTCACTTATAATTATAATTTAATTGGGGTCCGTGCTCACTTCAGGCCTCTGGCAAATAACCTATGAGAGCCATATTTAATTGTACAGTTTATCCAACACAAAAGCTTCAATCACAAACACAGGCCTGCGGTGCTAAATTGTTGTTTTTGTGCCTTAACAACGAACAATGAAACACTTGGCCGTGCTCATTTTCTAGCCCCCGCTATGTTGGAGAAAAAGGCAAAATTAGCAATTGGGAAAAAAGGATGCCATTAAAAGCCTCTTCCCCGTCTCACAAAGCGATCGCGGGAGTGTTACGCTTTAGTCATAGCTAAGTGAACAGAGAACGGCTGCCTGCACGAATTGTTCCACCGCTGTGTCTAATGGTCAAATCACTGCACTGTAAAATGGAAATTTCGAACTTGATTAATTTATGCATTTATGGGCGCTGTCTTTGTGATGATTCTGTTACGCCGCGTTATTGCTCATCTAAATTGGGTCGTGGTGAACTGTGGCGAAAATCAAGGTGACGCGACATGAGGGAAGGAACCTGGGGCGGGGGGGATAACTGTCAACAGCACAAAGGAGCATTGAGGATTGTCGCCTCTGGATGGAAAAAAGATGGGCGTTTTACCAACATTACAGCAGAATCCCTGCTGATTTTCCACTGTTTCTTCCAAAATCTTGACAGCTTCTATACCTTAACCAAAGGCACTCTGGGATATGGCTGTGCAATTTCAGCTGCTTTTGAATTATCGGACTCTAGTTTCCTGTATGTGCATGAGCAGACAATAAAATTGCATGGGAAGGGAAGAAAACTGATTGATTTATACGGATAAACACTATAAGGTTTTAGGACCTTGCACTGAAATAAATTTCTCAAATAAACAGCCTTTTTGAAGCCAGATGCATCTGTGGGCGACAAGGAAGTTCAGTCATTCTGGAACCTTCAGATGCAACGCTTTTCTTTGAAAGAATCAGTGTGTGTGCAGTTCTGCCCAACCTTCGATGGGTGCCAGGATTATGCGGGAATGGTCGTAGGCGATGACGTTGGCGTAGCGGTTCTTGGGTTTGTTGACCTCCAGGTTGGAATGCTCCCAGGTGAACTGCTGACCCGGATCGATGGACTGTGGAAAGAGAAAACGGAGTGAAGCAACCCTCAGGGCTTTTCCCAATCCCTCAGCATCACTGGCATGAATGCTAATGTGAGAAGAGAGTGAGTTTACATCCGCTAGAACATCAGAAGAAGGTAGAGAAACAGAAGAGAGTTCAACACTCAGAAAGCAGGGTTGAGTGAGGCCACGGAGCCTGGGAGGACTAAAACTAACAGAAACTAGCGAATTGAGGATCCAGCACAAAGCAGCTCGGATAAACATTCACAAGATAAAAGTCCTCCTGCCACAATCACAGCCGCACATTAAAGTGTAATTAAAAGCCGTCTGCTATCGTTTAAATATTCACCAGCATTCGGTCAGGTAGCTTTGTCGTGGACAGTGAATAATAGCAAAGGAAACGCTGATAAAAGAGTCTGTTCCTTCCTGTGAGGGGGTGAATTATCTGACGCCAGCAAGATAAATGCCGCCACGTTCCCAATATGAGAATTTCTGAATAAATATTCTATTCCCCTGTCGGGGTAATTTAGTATTCCATTATGATTCCGAGCCTGTTCTCGGGCAATGGCTCCATCCCAGCTCTTCTACCTTGAGGGATGTTTTCATTTAGGTGACCGTCTCTGCATGCTGAAACTGGGACTAAATAACCCACAATGAGGGGCTTGATGTAACTGTTTACCCTGTGATGATTACAGGCACAAATAACAGAGCATGGATCCTCCACAGGTTGTCCGTGCTCTCAAACCTGTCTCTCTTATCATCTACCCTGCAAACCACCCGTGGGTTTCAGCGCACACAGCTTGGATTGGTTTGGTTCTTCTCCAAGCCAAATGCCACACTGTGATGTGATCTAAAGGATTGTGTATGGACGGAAGCATGATGACATAATCAGGAGTTTGGTAATCCACAGCATGTTTTTGCATAAATCCCAACCCACATCCTCATATCTGACCAAAACCCTTTGCGCCAAACACATTTATCTGCTTCAAATCAGCTTCCAACTCTAATGTTTTTTCTCTTCTCTAGCCCAGTTTTTCATAGACATCACTCACTGATTTAACAGCTACTATTAGCATGCTAACACACTATGATGATCAAAAATTACATTCATTCCAGTTTTTTCTTCTAGAGCAGCAGTTCCCAAACACTTTTCTCAGCTGACCTAAATTATGTATTTGTATTTGAGTTTAAAAGGTTACTCCACCTCAAAATGAAAATTTTGTCATTAATCACTTACCCCCATGTCGTTCCAAACCCATAAAAGCTTCGTTCGTCTTCGGAACACAATTTAAGATATTTTGGATGAAAACCGGGAGGTTTGTGACTGTCCCATTGACTGCCAAGTAAATAACACTGTCAAGGCCCAGAAAAGTATGAAAGACATCGTCAAAATAGTCCATCTGCCATCAGTGGTTCAATCGGAATTGTATGAAGCGACGAGAATACTTTTTGTATGCAAAGAAAACAAAAATAACGACTTTATTCGTTATTTACGAATTGTTGAATAAAGTCGGTATTTTCGTTATTTTATTTTTCTGGGCCTTGACAGTGTTATTTACTTGGCAGTCAGTGGGACAGTCACAAGTCTCCCGGATTTCATCCAAAATATCTTAAATTGTGTTCCGAAGATGAACGAAGCTTTTACGGGTTTGGAACGACATGGGGGTAAGGGATTAATGACAACATTTTTATTTTGGGGTGGAGTAACCCTTTAAGGAATTTTTTCAAGTTTTCCAAAGAAAAATAAAATATGCAACGACTCCTTTTAATCTGTAAGGTAAGAGAAAATGTGATTTAATGTTACACAATTTATCTTAAAAATTACACTAATTTATTTAATATTTTAAATTTAAATTTTTTAAATTGAATAATTTATTTACATTAAATTCATAAAAATATTTTATTTAAAAATATTACACTAATATATTTCATTACATTTTTACTGTAATACATAATTTTAATAATTTAATTTGCATTATTTCATGAAGGCCTTGCAGTTCCATTGTAAACCTCAAAGGGTTCATGGACCCCCTTCTTATTCACGAAACCAGAGCGGATCAAATTTGTTTTATCAATTTATGTAACTCTGAAACTATCGAAGGTGATCCTGATTATGCCATTGATGACTCCCTATTTGCAGATGGCCGAGGTCAGAAACAAACTATTCAACGATCTACTACTCAGGCTTAGCTGCTTATGAATGATGTTCCTTCATTTGGATAGTATATGCAGCTAATGCTAATCTATATGCTAAGCCAATGTCCCAAAAATGATAGTGGGTTGGCTCAACTCAAGCATGCCTGTGTTCCTGCTGAGATATCAGGTCTGGCTCACGCTGGGAGCCATTTAAGATGGCATTAAGCCCCGGGGGTGTTGATGGCAGTGCTGCCGTAGCACGCTGTGATTTAAGATGGACGACGACATTTGCTCTATGCAGATGAAGGCTGATTCAGCAATAGCAAAGGCTAATCAGCAGCCGCTACGCTTACGAGGCCAGCACTTCAAACCAAGACATCCGCGCCACTGCAAAACCCCATGGCACGTGAGTAATTGCCATGCAAATGTTGAAAACAATTAATTGGCATTTGTTTTGCAGGAAAACCCACTTGTCTTTTGAAATGGCTAACAATCCTATTCGTAACATAAAATGGTATTTCTGTATAATATGCAGTACCTCATACTCCTGGGAGAGCTTCAGGTTGTCATTGGCCTTTAGTAGCTCCGTGTGCTCGGCTAGCTCAGAGATGGGTATCGGTGGGTGGTTCATCATACCTGTGCACCAATCAGGAGAAGAAGACACAGAAAGAAAAGGTCAGAAAGACCAACGGGCCAAGACAGACAGTTAGAAGTAGTGTTGTCAAAAGTACCGATGTCGGTACCAGTCAGAACTGAAATTTGAAAAATGTGACGATACCAGCATTTCCCGCTAGCATTTTGAGCGCTGCTGTGTGGATTCTCAAACACTGTAGCCAATCACAGACATAGCTGTTAAGCATGTGAACACAATGGCTAATCAGAGTTGTTTGAGAATTAAAATGCTACCAGAAAATGCTGGCATTGTCAGATTTTTAAAATTTCAGTACCGATTTTGACAACACTAGTCAGAAGCCAAATCCCAAAAGTTGGTGGAAAAAATGGGATCAGGGGTAGGGGAAGACACCCAAGCAGGTGAGACAATGAGGTGGGGACTGGAGTGAGGAACAGTGGGTGATGTTAGAGACACAGTGTGACCAGGCCAGAGCTCTACATGATCAATCGGACCAATCAGGATTGTCCTAATACAAAAAACTGGATGCATTTATACAGACAATATGAAGGAAAAGACCTAAGGATGATTGCTAAGGTGCTGCAAATACCCCAGACCAATTACAAAAATGATAGCGGGTCAAATGGTTCCTAATAGCTTTGCAGCATTGCCACAGCAATGAAATCTCTTCTTTCTCACTCCGCTGTAGCTAAAAATGACAAGCAGGAGGACACTTCATATACTTGGTTGGTAAGACAAACCATACGTTTGTCCTCAGCAGGCTAAGACAAGGGGAATAATGCGCTTGATTGCCTTCGTGAAACCAAACAAATCTCCTTTCAAACTGAGTCACGGGAACAATAAATTGAAACAACCCCCAAGATCTGCCCTTGAGAAATATGTTCAGGTCTGCAGAGCTGAAGCGTAATAGATTTAATCAAATGCAAAATCTGAAAACTTCTATTTCCCCAAGGCGGGACAAAAGGCCAAAAGCACACTACAAGTTTGAAGCTATGTACATTGTGTCTGGAATAGGAGAATGGTATCAGGTTTCCTTATGCAGGGTTAACCCTACGTTACCCTAAACCAGGGGTGTCCAATCCTGCTCCTGGAGGGCCACCTACTTAGCTTAATCCCAAATTTAACTAACCTGAACCTGCTAATCAAGGTCTTCAGGATCACTAGAAACTTCTAGGCAGGTGTGTTACAGCAAAACTCCTCAAGAAATTGGCCCTCCAGGATCAAGATTGCTCCGTAAACCTGTCAAGTAGGCAGTTCTGGCATTCAGGGACTGTTGGCCGTAGACTTGAGCACAAAAGGACACAAGCTTCTGTCTTGTATTTTATGCTAGGATTCATAACCAGTCTCATTTGCATGTCGTCTTGCACATAACCAAAATATGGACTTACTGTTCTTGCTTTCTTTGTCTTGCTGCTCTGGGGGGAAAAAACTGGAATGCTTCCACACTAAACACGAAAAATATGTGTGAGCGAGAGGTAGAAAAATACAATATTGCCTTTCCCTGGAGTAAACCTCAAGCCTTAATATTTCTAACAGCTTTCCTTTTGGCAGGAGCTTGCAATAATTTCCTTATGTAATCCTTCATTTGCACAATAATGGGAAATAAAGCTCTTGAGGTGGAGGGGAGATGATGGGGGTAATCAGGGTAAGGTAGGGGGTTTATTCGAGAGTTCTGGCCTGGGTTAGGATGACCCGATGGTATCGGTGCAAAATGCAGTGCTGTGTTCTCTGCTTCAGTTCAGCCAAAGATAAGTAAGCATGTCACGGAAGCAGTCGCCCATGCTAACCCTGCAACAACCTACAAGACCTTTCCTCAAACAAGCACTAGTTTTGCTGTTTGCTCAGACTAACAACTTTCTAGGTCTCTCACTGTGGAGTTTATCCAGTTATGAATTAGTAATGGATTATGGCAGAAAACAGACATATCGTCAACAAGCTCTTCCTAAAATGGACGGCAACATTTTTATATAGAGCATTGGACTTTCTTCAATGCGAGGTCAAAAGCTGGATAAATGTTGACGTCTTCCTTGAAGAGTACTGTGATTTAATTAAGCATGGATAATCTGCATAATCACATTAGCCATCCTCAATTTCACTTCCAGTTTTTTCTCTTCTCGTAATGTTGTACGCCGCAAATGGTTTGGCTTTGATTGAGAAAGGACACTTGCTAATTGGACATTATGACAAAAAAACGACACGAATGCCACTCAAGACGCCTCAAAAAAGTTCTAGCTGTTAGTTTTCAGACTTCCATGCAAAACAGAGCCAATCAAACTATGCTAATAACAGTTTTCTCTCATCTACTGCCTGGATACTAACAGTTTTCTTACTTCACAAATGTTATCCTCGTCAGCCTGGCCAAGCTCTTGGAGATAGTCTGGACTCAGTTTTACCCTCTTGAGGTGAACCAAGGTAATATATGCCAAAGCACTCTCGAAAAAGATGTGAAGGGCAACTTTGGCAAACAACCTGAGATCAGACCTGCATGCTAAACACTAACAGCCTTCATAATGCAATGAGAAAGGCCATCTAGAGCCAATCAAAACCCAACAAACTTGGAAGATTAGCACTTTTCAATGTCAACGCGTTCCTCAACTTTGCTCTGTGTCAACAACAATCACTCGTGTTCATAAATAAGCTGTTATTTGTTTGTTCTTAGGAATTTTCTCTCTGCAAGATGTAAGAAACAATTACATTTAATCCGATCGGGGTGCAAAAAATGCTTTAACCTCTGCAGATGACAAGGTTTTTTGGTTATCAAAACTTTCACAGTAAACTTTGTGACAAATAACTGCAAATCTACATTTACCGTAAAAAGCCTCCAAATGAAGATGATCCAAGACGTTACCTTTCTGTGGCAGATGAAAGCACTAAATACACGTTACAAAAGTGGCTTTACGTGAAGGACCTCATCAGTTTTTATAATTAACTACATTGAGTTTCAAGTATTTATGTGAAAGACGCTAGAAAGTCTAAGCGAGGTCCAATAGGATATAAACTCTTTCAAGGACAAATTCCTGTTTCTGTTCATTTCCTGTCTGCTCTCTCTGCCAGGATTTCTGTGTCTCTCTCTCTCCACTGCAGTCTTTTTATTCCATGCAATCAAGCCCAAGATCAGTGAGCATGAGAGATGCAAACTGTCTAATTACATATTTTCAGTCTCTTATTTGTGCTTGACAGGTGATGCAAATAACAAATCCTTTTGATATCCGCTGCCGCTGTTTGCGAAACGATTTTATGCGATTGTTCATTTACATATAAAAGGAAAAGCACTCAGTATATTTCCCCATAAAAACAACAAAAAAGGGAGTCGTGTTTCTCGTTCCTCTGTCTCGCTAGGGGGCAGGAGGGATGTATCAAATGTCGGACTATTGTTTGCAGAGGGTTTAATTAATTCAGCTCGTTATCTCCTGCAGAACGACCCCATCGGTGGAGAGAGGAATGGGGGTCTGAATGGACAGGATGCTGGAATGTGTGGAGACTTGTGTAAAAATCATACAGCAGAGCCGTCTCTACATGATCAGCTGCTTTTACTGTGGATTAATAGTGTGCAGCCAACAGCCAGTGAGAACAAAGCAATCAACAAGCAGAAGTATAAAGAGAAAAAACAAAAAAACAAAAGCCGTGTTACGGATGTAAGTTAAAAGCTGTCATAATTAAGATGAAACCGTAAACCGCATTTGCATTTTAACTTCCCACAGATGCATAATGCAGAACAAATGTCTAGGAAAACTGCAATCACACTGTTTGCTTATATTTGTAATGCCTTTTGTGTATACAGTTATTAAATATATTCATATACTTAATATTATAATTAGCAATATAAATAGGAATGAACAATATATAAATCAATATAAATAAAAAAACAGCATAGAGATAATTATAAGTTATCTGTATCCATAAAAATAAATAATATTAAACATTAATATAAATTATGTTTGTTATCAGTAAAAAACCCATTTAATTAATTGAAACATTAAAAAATGTAATAATTATTAAAATGAAGTGATTCTAAAATAATATTAAAACCACTAACATAATAATTGTTTTATTGTTTTAAGATATTAATATTAAAATACTAAGATATCATTAAGATATTGATTATAGGACTTGGAAACATAATAGAGATATAAATCATTGTGTATTCTGTAGAAATGTTTAAATATGGCCAGGTTACATTTAAAAACAAAACATGATGTTGGCTAACATGATGTCTTTTAAGTCAAAAAATACTTGATTTTATCCTAAATTATGCACCTCATATAGGAAAAGCAATTGCTAATGAGATTTAGTTTTAGATTTCATTTGAATTACGACTCCTTTTAACTTTCCCAGGGTTACAGGAGTGAGAATTAGCGCAGCTCCGGCAGTTTGTGTGTGTGTGTGTGTGTGTGTGTGGAGGGGGGGGGGGGGGGGGGAGCCATATGCAAATGTAGTCGGAAAACACAACCCATTATTCCGGATGTGGGGCAGACGCATTAAAAAATGATAAGAAAACACCAAAGCTCAGCGCGAGATGTGAGCACTAACTTTCATAGTCAAAACCGGCTTCACTGACAGGACTGCTTAGACCCGAATCTGTGAAAAACAGCAAACAGCAAAAAAATAAAATAAAAGCATCCCTCTTTGAATGTACTGATCATTAGTTGAGAACAAAATCTTGAAAGGGACTGAAAGAAATGGGGAAAACAAGATAAATGCAAGGAAATTAGAACTTCTCCTTTATGCATTTTCTCTCTCCAATTAATTTTTCAGACTATATTGTGCATTTTTAACCAGGCAGGAGAACAGACCACCCTTGGTTTGAATGAAGGTAGTAATCCTCACGAGGGTCCTCGCCGTTGGATCTGACGCCAAGCTGTCTGTCAGACGCTGAAAGTAGGACACTCACTCACACATCAGCCGTCCTTCATCCAACATCACAGCTGCTGATGTTCATGAGACATTCGTGAACCGCTGGAGATACCGTTCATACCGCAAATATTCACGTCAAACTCCATGCTAGTTTTTTAAAGAATAAATCCTCAAAATATCAGATGGCGGCGTCGATCGAGTGGTAAAAAGACATACGGTCAAGAGTTTAGCGCTTGACGTTTGTCCAGCTGTCTGAAGCGTGAACGCTTGAGGAGCGTCTTTAGCTTCTGTTGTCGAGATCTGAACCATCTGTGATGACTTTCGGCACACGACACCTAGATTAACATGCTAGCAAGTGGATCAGGTCTGAATAAGCATTGGAATTAGCAGTGCTTTTGAGAACAAAAGTCACAATATACTTTTAATGCTTTATGTTGGCTAAGATAATGGCTGTTAATGAAAATAACTAAATGATAAAAAAAAAAAAAAAAAGATTAAAAAAAAGATCATTATCAGTTATCTTAATTTTTTCCGGCTGAAATTATTACTAGCGTTATAATTAAGGATTGATATTATAATTAGTATTATAAATAGGTATGCATAATATATTGGGGACCATGTACAAAATCAAATAATTAAATAAATAAAAAACAGCATAGAGATAATTATTGGTTATCTGTATTTATCGGTTGTGTGTGATTGCAAGCCTTATAATTCAGGATTAATATTATAATTAGCATTATAAATAGGTATGCATAATATATTGGTGACCATATACAGCCAATAGAAATAAATAAATAATTAAAACAGCATAGAGATAATTATCGGTTATTTATATTTATCGGTTGTGAATGAATAAAAACAGTATAATTATCGGTTATCTGTATCTGCAAAGATAAATAATATTATTAAATTTTTTAATAAATTTTTTATAAGTTTTATAAACTTTAATATAAATAATTATTAACATAAAAATAATTAAAAACTAATATTAAAAACAATTATTAACAATTATCAATTTAAAATTAGGTGCATAGATGCATCGCTTCTAGACGGTGTATGATTTTAAAACATTGTTTGACTCTTAAGCCTCTCAAATCTATGTAATTCTTAAAAGTCAATATAAAAGCAATTATTCTTCCATAATATGATTTATTTCTGAGTAAAACAGAATGAAGAAATCAATAAAGAAAAAAATAAACAGTGAATTGTGGCAAGATTTTAGACAGCAGCCTAAAAAAATAACTAAATAGGATCGGGGCAAGGAATACAAATCTTCTATTTACAGACAAAATTAATCACGGGCCTGGAAAAACCGTGAATGTTTGTGAACGTGTCGCATTAAACAGTTTGCTAATAAATATGTTTGTTTTCTAACATACTGAAGTGGACGCAGAAGGATTGAGCAGAACCTGACCCTAAACATGTTATGAAACAAACCGAATGTCAGCGTCTCGTCTCATTAGGATAAGTTGTGCACCATATGTGCCAGTCATCCATGTGAACTCAAGTGTGCTGCTTTGAACAATGGCCCCTATTAGCTAATGGAAATGTCGCAAATGTTTCCCCGTCCCAGTTAATTGGGCTAAAATGTCCACTTAAATGAAAATTCACCAAGCAAAGAGATAATGACACCCAACGCTTAAAAAGAACAACGTCGCATCGCAAATTGAACGCTCCTCAATAAATAAAGTCCAATGAGGATGGCTTTAACGAGGCGAGCTTCTTTATAGTGTTGAAGCGGACGAAAGAGGCGAGAAATAAGATGAAAGTGCGCCGGGCTCATTTCAGATGTGTTATTAGGCGGCTGCCGGACAAGATGCCCCACAATGGACAGGTGATTATGGGAAATGAGGTGGTGATAGTGGCTTTCTTGCGTTCTCCACCTCCATTTTTCAGCTGGTTCTCGTTTTATCTGGGCTGAAGAAGGACAGCTCTCGGCGTCATGACCTCCTCGGGCGGCCGCGCTGAGATTACCGCCTTTGAAACGAGAGCTGTTTGATGGGGAAAGCGGACAGGAGAGAGACGCCGTCGACAAATTCACTCCGCGCCACTTCAAGGAGCCGCAGAGAAATGTCAGGCTAGGTTTAGCGTGCAAAGCTGGTGAAAATGAGGACACTTTGAACTGGAGGATTTGATTGAGACAAAAGATCGTCAGCTTTAGAATGAGACGAGGACGGCGACGGCAAAAACATTTCGGAAGCTGTTTGGAAGTTCAGTGTCTGTTTTCAGTATTTATTGGTTATCTGTAATTATGACTAGCATTATAATTCAGGATTAATATTTTAATTAGGATTGTAAATAGGAATGCATAATATATTGGTGACCTTATACAGCCAATATAAATAAATAAATAAATAAATTAATTAATTAAAAAAAACAGCATAGACATAATTATCAGTTATCGGCTAGATGTGATTATAAGCATTATAATTCAGGATTAATATTTTAATTAGGATTGTAAATAGGAATGCATAATATATTGGTGACTTATACAGCCAATATAAATAAATAAATAAATACATACATACATAAATACATAAAAAAAAACAGCATAGACATAATTATCGGTTATCTGCATTTATCAGTTAGATGTGATTATTAGCATTATAATTCAGGATTAATATTATAATTAGCATTATAAATAGAAATGCATAATATATTGGTGACATTATACAGCCAATGGAAATAAATAAATACATGTTAAAAAAAAATGGAACAGATATAATTAGCAGCTATCTGTATTTATCGGTTATTAGTAATTATAAGCATTATAATTCAGGATTAATTATAATTCGCATTATAAATAGGAATGCATAATATATTGGTGACTGTATACAGGCAATAGAAATAAATACATAAATATTTAATTAGAAAAACAACAATTCATATCGGTTATCTGTATCAACAAAAATAAATATTAATATTAAACATTAATATAAATCATTATGATAGTCAAAAGTTACAACATTAAAATAATTGAATTAAAAAATATATAATTATTAAATATAAAAATAATATAAAAATAATATTTAAACAATTATTAACATAATTATCCGTTAGCGATTAAAAATGTCTTCATTGGTGCATTGATTTATATATATAATAGACATATGTAATAGACATTGTTTGGCTTTTCTATCTCCCAAATCTATGTAAATCTTAAAAGTCAATCTTAAAAGCCTAGGTTTAGCGTTCAAAGCTGGCATAAATGAAGTCTTTGAACTGAAGGATTTATACAAAACAAAAGACTGTCTGCTTTAGAACGAGAAGAGGACGGCAATGGCAAACACGTCTCTGAAACTGCTTGGACGTTCAAAACCATGAACCAAATATAAAATAAAGATGACTGACAGACTGTATGCAATTATTAACTAATAAACTGCATCAGTAAAGACACTAATTAGAAATAACAGCAGGCACGCCTGAAACCGACAGTTAATTGACTATTTATGTCACTCTTACGCACTTCAAAGTGCATGTTTGAAAGGAGAATCTGAAGGATGATAAGAAAATAATGTTGAAATTCAAAAAAAGCTCTATTTTCTATAATATGACCTAAAAATAAATATGACATGGTCTTGACAGGTTTCGTGAGATGAACCAGAGAAAAGTTCATGTTTAAAGTGATTAAAGCTGTTTGTTCACATGGATATACCTGCGGTTTGGAAGTTGATTCGTCTCATCTCCACCGGGTCTGTGGGATGGTGAGGTGTGATATCGGTGTTGTTCAGCATACATTTCGTCCGTGGCTCTGACTCTTTACGTTTGCTGCTTTAAAAAAGGAAAGAAAAATGCAAGGATTAAATTAAATCTAACAAACGAGACAGAAAAAGAACAAGTAAATCAAATCATAAGTGCACAAAATGACCACCCAGTGTTTCTTGATCGATTCAGTTCATGATTCAGATCAATGACTCCTGATTTAGAATGATTCATCAATCAATTTGACTGATTCAATTAGTGCCACACACTTGAACTTAAAAATAAATATATAAAATTAATACATGCAACAAATAAAATATGAAAATATAATTTTTTTTGTTGAAAAAATAACATTATGATGCAAATACACACACACAGACAAACTCTAACTAGATACTATTTAAAGGTATTAATAAAAATCTTTGCACACTACTTTGTTTATCAGTATTTATCAGTGCAGAAAACACTGTTTATAGTCTATAAATGAGGAAGCTAGATGCTAGCACAAACAAAGCTATGTCCACAAACACCACAGCCGAGGGGCACATTGGTTGAACCCGATTTTCTCTGCCATCTAATTAAAAGTTGCCTTTATGCTGAGGCAGGTTGTTTTCTTTTGCCCTCTTGAAAACAGCAATAAAGTACAGCTAAGCCTTACCTGTCAGGCTTGCTGCTTCCAAAGAAAGCATTGAAGTGAAATAAATATATAAAAGGGAGAAAACACAACAAGAGAACAAGGGAGAGGAGAGGAAAAAAATCAATAGAGTACATTTAAATTCACAGGGCAGGCTAGCGGAGCCAGATTAGCTCATCTGCATTTGGACAGACCTGTAAAAGATGTGTGTTTGTGCCCACCGGGGGGCTATACGATCTCCAGACACCAGAGGTCAAACTCAAGGTCCTGCCTAGGGAGGAAATACTAGCCAGGAGTCGTCCGCTTTTAACCTGGCTCTTGAGGCGCAAATGAGGAATAGCTTCCCTTTGAGTTTCAGCACACTTGCATGCTAAAAGTCAAAGCGGTCTGCTTTGGCCGCGCTCTGAAGCAAATAGCTATTAGCTATCACCTCATTAATTTTTGATACGTTCAAACTGATTGCTCTCCTCCGCTCAGCTTTGAACTTCTCCAAACTATGCCAATGCTGAGGGCTAAAATAAGTTTAAATATTTTAATGAATAATAATAGGAAATAGTCTTTTATTTATTTTCTATTGAATTTATTGTGACCAAAACTTACATTTATAATTAAATTGTATCAATAAAAATATGATAGTAATAAATGTCTTTACAAACAGTTTTAATGAATAAAAACAAACTATAGTATTTTATTATATTTACTTTCACTTTTATTAGATTTAATTTTATTGGTTCAGAAACAGAAATTTATAAATACATTATATTAATATACACATTATAAATGTCTTTACAAAATATTTTAATTAATATATTAATGTATTCAATTATTTATCAACTTGAATAAATGTATATTAAAATTTATAACTTTTAATAAAACAATATAACCCAGTATTTTATATTTATATTATTTTTAATTAAAATGTTTTGTAAAGACATTTATAATTATAATTTATATATATATATATATATATATATCTTTACAAAACACTTTAATTAATAATAAAAATCTATAGTATTTAATTACATTTGCTTTCAATTTTATTAGATTTACATTTATTGTAATTGAAACTGAAATGTATTACTAAATTATATCATATTAATATGTAAATTATAATTATAAATGTCTTTACAAAACTTTTCAATATAGAAATGTATTATATTATTTATTTTAATTTTAACAATTTATAACTTTTTTATAAAACAATACATATAATACAGATTTATGTTGTTTTAAATTAAAACGTTTTACAAAGACATTTATATAATATAATATATCATTTTTGTGAAGACATCTATATGTAGGCACAACTTTTATTTATCTACAAATTTCAAGCATTAAAGATAATGAGACGCTTAAATTAGTTCTCATTTTGAGTGGTCGTGTAAATGGTACAATCTAAAAAGTTTATATTTATTAGCATTTCAAAAGTCCACTCACTTCTTGTAGAGGAGAATCGCGATCACAATACAGATTATGAAGACCACAGCGAGAACGGGCCCCACCACCCAGATGAGTCCATCCCCTCCCGTCTCCACGGGCTGAGGGTCCACGTCAGGAGCCGTGACTGGATCCGTGTAGGGACTGGACACAAATGATTTCTGCACAAAAGCAAAAAAAGGTTATAGCTATCTGCGTTCACCACTTTGCAGGAGTCTTAAAACTCAAATTAAAAAGGCTTTTCCTTAAATTTCACTCACCCCTCCGGTGGTGTTGAGCTCGGCGAGGATAAAGAACACATATTCCTGCCCGGGGTCCAGAGCCCTGTTTTCAAAGCCGCTATACACCATCTGGTTGCCCAGGGTGAAGGACGGCGGCATGGATGAGGGCTTGAAGCTGGCAGCGATGTAGGGCCGCTTCCCGTCCACCTGCTTGAGCTGACGGGTGGTTCGAGCGTGACGTTGACCGAGTCTTCTGTCGCCCAGCAGCTGTGGGAGAGAAGACTGCTTAAGAAGAACTGAAATTAACATCTAAAACACAGCATATTCTGTTTGATTCTTCTGGGAACACAACCAAAACTTTCAAACTATCAAACAGTTAGCGGCTTATACAGTGGTGCTAAACAAAATTGGTTATTTACTCAAACAAAACCAATCATTTTGAAGTCAAATAACACTTAAACAGAACACAGGCACCCATTCGCCATCCACAGCTCAAGGTCAAGTGGCTAAGCTTGGCAGTTTGCCAGCGGGTAAGGATGAGAGCTGTGTAATTGTCCCCTCTCCCTGACAAATCCCTTGGGAAAGTTTCCACAATGCTCCTGCGAGAACACTTTCCATGGCTTTGGCTCCACTGTGTCTGCAACACAAGGACAAAGACTTGAGAAAAGAAGCTATGTTCACCTCTTCTAGGTCCAGTTCATCTGGGGTCTTGATGTGTCGGATCGGACCTCTTCCCTTCTTCAGAGGAACCACCACAACATAGACCGCCCTGCAAGAGGTCGAGATGGTGCATAAAACCATTACAAAAATCGCTAGTTAAATAACTGCCTATCCAGCAAATCTGATTATTTTTCTGTGCCGTATCTGTCAAGAGCATAAAAATCGGAACATCTAGCTACACGATTTCCAACAAAACCTGAAAAATTCCCTTCACAAGTATGCAAACGCAGATGTTTAAAGCTAAGCAAGCTTGAAGTTGCTTTTCAAAACACAAGCAGAAAATGCAGTTCTTACGTATGTACTGCATTCTCAGTATGGCCACAAGGGGCACTATAGCAAACAATAGCGCAAACTGTCTTCTACTGTGAGTTTTTTGTCATGGCTCCAACATTGACACTTTTAAAGGACCCCCACGTTTCTAATTTGCTTGTGTCTGCATTCACATGCTTGTGTAGAATGCGTTTCTGGCTTAGAACGGCATTTGGTTTTCCTCACTTTATCAACTCTTTGGATTCCAGCGGTGGGAAGACAATGGTCAGCGTGCTGGCCGGCTCTCTTTTCAGGTCCAACTCTGGCTTTCGGACCAGAATAGGTGGTGCCGTTCGTGCGATGAGCTTGTGTTTGGGTCCACCGTCGCTGCTTTCCTGGCAGGTGATTCTGAACTCATAGGTGCTGTTGGGTCGCAAGTTGGTGATGAGAGCTTTGGTCATCCTAGCGTCAATGTCAACCTTCTGCCGGTGGTACTCAATCTGTGAACCAATGTGCATTGATAAATTGTTCATAAAAACATCATGAATTAAGTCTGATCCTTGCAATAATGTTGATATTTTATGAACAAAACAGGATTCATTAGCTTGCTTACCATACAGCGGTACGGGAAGCGGCTATCGGAAAACCTCCAGGTCAGCAGTACTGTAGTTTTGGTGACCAGCTTTACGGTGAAGTTCTTAGGAACATCTGTCCAGAGGTGAATGGAGGAAACAAATTGAGAAAGACACTTCAGAAATGGAAAAAGTACAACAAGACTGAAGGGAAAGAAGGCTGACAGAGTGTTCGATGCTTGCGACCAGTTTTCCCCCAAAGGAGAGGAGCTTTGGTCCCTCTGAGTGAGCGGTGTGTGGAGTTAGCTGTGAAGGGGAGGGGGGGAGGCGCTCAGTTGGGACAAACAGCACGCTAGACTGGACTGGTGAACACAGAACCACAGGATCGCACAGTACTCTGCCTGCCCTGGCCCGGCAGTGCCGCCCCAAAAAGAACATTTGGCAAGCAGTTCCCATAATCCCCCCTGAACGATTCCAGAATAGTTGAACCCACATTATGTTTGAGTAACCCACTGCTGTGTGCTCTCGAATTTGGATAGGCACTGCCATGGCAGAAAGCCCGGCAGGAACGAGGACAAACCCCAAACACAGTTGTCATGCCCACACTTGTTAGCAGTGCATCATGGGACGCCATGCTGCAAATCATCCCAGTGTGGGAGCGGGGGGAAAGGTGAGTACAGAAAAGAGGAACTGTTAAACAAAAAAACAACAACTAGAAATTCAAAAGAAAACCCAAACAAAATAAACAAATGTGCCTGATTCGACTTCAGATCTGGGATCTCCTTGACGTGGTTCTCGCCTACCTTGAAATACTAGGGGAGTTTTGTGATTGTATGAGTGAATGTGCTGGGCGTGTCTGACCAATCGGCACTTACCTCGCAAAAATTGACGCTCCTCCCCTTTCAAAACTGACTGACTTCAACTTACTGACTTATTTTACCTTGTTGTGGGGGAGGGTGTTAGTGAGGTATGTGGCTCCCAGAGAACTTTATATAATCGGGTGTAGGTGCTTGCATTGTAGAGGTTTGTTCCTTGAGGCGGGGAAATGAGCAACCCGTACCTGCTTCGTAGGCCACTGTTCGATACTGGATCGGTGGGCTGTAGGGCCCTGGACCTACACTGGTGTGCGCTCGAAGTTTCACATCGTACACTGCGTTGGGCCTCAGGCTGTTGAGGGTGTAGCTATTCTCGCTTGCCAGCAGACGCAGTTCCTTGGGTCCACCGGCTGTTCCGGCCTCCTGGTAAGCCAGCGTGTACTCTGTTATAGCGCCATTGCGCTCTGCCAATACCGGAGGCAACCAGGCAAATTGGAGAGAGCAGCAGGTAATGTTAGACCCTTCGATTATTTGAGGATACCCTCGAGGAACCTCTTCTGGGACTTTTAGTTCTCGGGTAGCCTCGTCGCCAAATCCTGATCTGGTCTTGGCGGACACTTTGAATATGTACGTGGCCCCTCGGTGGATATTGCTAATGGAATATTCCAGCTCCTGATGGCCGAACTCCAGCGTGGCCAGGGGGCTCACGTCCTTTCGGCCAAACTGTAGCCGATAACCCTGCACCTCGAGACCCGGAGCGAAGAAATCAGGGGGTTGCCAGCGTACTAATGCAGTAGTCTCTGAGTTTTGATTGACCGAGAGAAAGGGAGGCCCCGGCACTGTAGAGAGAGAAAGAGGGACATTACATTCAATTCAAATGAACCGTATCTCACTTAAGCCTGTTGTAGCATAACTAGGTGTATTTTCATCCTGGTACTCCCTACTAAAGAAAGACCATCTAAAATAACTTTAAAGGGATTTATTGCAAACCCAGTTCCTGTAAAGTACCATTATATAAGTATGTACGTTCTGTAAAAACTATCATAAAGGCACTAACACCACATATACTCCATACTCCAATGTTACCCAGAAAGGCTGCAAGTCTGAACAACCTGTTTTGAAAAAGCTATTCATTTTTAAGTGACTAGATGGTTGTTGAACAGATCACTGGATGAGAGATTGTGGGTTAACAGCCATATGATAGAGAAGGAGAGCATGAGAACAGACAGAAGGACAAATCACTCCTAAAAAAAACAAAACAGAAGTGCTGATGAAGGTGACAGGGAAACTGCGCAATCTGCCGCAGGGAGAGAACAACGGGGGTCAGAGACACCGTGATTGTGGTCCGCTTCCCCTCGCCAGCAGCACTCCAGTCCACTCCACTGGACGACACACAATCCTCTCCACAGGACCACAGGCACGTTTCCCATTAGGCCTTGCATTAACAGCCACTGTTGACCCACAGCCACTGATTAAGATAGGATTGCGTTTCACAATCATGCCCTCCCCCTTCCCTACTTCCCTCTCTCTCTGTCCTTCTCATCTCCAGTGGAGGAGACGCCGCTACGAAAAAGAGGAACATAATAAAATAACCTTCAGCTAACATGCAATTAACCTGCCGATAGGACTTACAGAGAGTTATATTAAGCGTATAAAGCACGACTGCCAGCTGACATGACTTAGCCCTGAGAAAACTGCAGCGCTGCATTCTGGGCCGAACTGATATCAAATATACAAAAGACAAGGGCAAAACCAACCAAATATGTCTGAATATAACCGTCCAACTAAATGTCCTCAGCACAGGATGACAAAAAGGTCAATGTAATTACCAGTCTTTAGGTTTTCTTCGTTACGCAAGAAAATAATCAAAGCAACATTCCACGAATTACTATGTTTTACTGTGAGTTTACCATGGTAAAGGGCACACAAGCATCAAGCAAAATGATCAATTAAGGTTATAATTTTTTTAAATTTATATCACCTATTCATGACATTATTCACAATAAACAAATCTTTTGCCAAGTATTCATCTAGCTGATTAGAGTTTTCAGACAATGTAGCAACTCAAACGCAGCGGATCCAATTTTAGAGTTGGAACTATACGTTTCATATATATATATAATCAATTTATGAACACCATAATGCCAGTTTGTAATCCTATAATCCAAAAACTGCAATCTACAGAAATTTCAACTCCATGCCACAGTATCCTGGCATCAGACGGTATTAGACAAGAAGCTCCAGAGACCAAAACGAGGAGCTTCACTCTCCACAATCAGGACTGGAGTGAAGTGGCCCTAAGTGGACCAATTAATTGAAGAGAATAACCACAGTGCCGTGAGGATTGTGAGTCATCCAGACTCTCTGTCCCCGAGCCGTGGCGGCCGTCCAAGCGGACACTCGTGAAGAACACCTCCAGCCCCTGCATTAGCATGCAATCTGCTCATCTGCAACACGGATGAAGGGAGACAGGAGGAAATTAAAAAAAGGAAGGCTCGTACTTGATCGGAATCTGGCCTACCAACGCCTAACCTTAAAAACGTGGCGGTTTGCATGTAATGCATGTGGAATAGCGAATGATAAGGCGTATTAGCGAAGGGTTTGACAGCGCACACATCAATCAGTCCATCGGCTCTGAAAGGAGAACAGAATCAATCATTCCCGTGTTGTTCCTCCTGGACAACAGGCAGCATCAATTAGATCGATACAAGGACATCTGCTTTGAGATCAAGGAGGAAACCGATAACGGGCCCCTTTGAACACAACATTAATAATCTTTGTCAATATGGCTGACACGTACTTAAACATGATACAAAAATCACTCAAAATAAAATATATTTTTGTGCATTTGAACCGGTGTTATTTTCACTGATATACTATTATAGTTCTTTTTTTTCTTCATATTTTCTATTTTAATTTTAATTAAAGTAATTTGTTTAAGTAATTTTGTCATTTTTATTCCATTCATTGTTTTAAATATATAGTTGTAATTAATTTTAATTTCAATTTTAGTAATTTTAGTGGTTCAACTAAACAAAAATGAGAAATGTTGCTTTGACATCAAGATTAAATAAAATAAGCTTAAGTTTATTGTAATGAGAAATGTTGCCCATTCAGATAATTGAAATAAAATGTTTTATATATACATATATATATATATATATATATATATTAAATTTCATTTTATTACATTTAGTTAATTTCAAGTATTTTGTAAATTTTTTTTTTAATTAAATACAGCTGGACAAAACAAACACTGTCCATCTTCATTTCAGGCTGCAAAGCAACAAAATGTGATTATTTAAAAGGGGGTGATTATT